TATATATATATATATATATATCTTTTTATATAATTATATATATAAATAAAAAATATTTAAATATATATGTATGTATATGTCAAATCTCTGATTTTTGAAATTTAAAAGTTGTTTTCTTATTTTTGAAATAGTGTATACTTAAAGTAGGATTTATGAATTTTTTACTTCAGTTTACGTGGAACCGATAACCCAAGATGAACCCTTTATTATTATTATTATTATTATTATTATTATTATTAATAAGTATCCATCCCCTAACTCTGCCTATTTTTAATGCAAATAATTCTCATGTTGAACCTAATTACATCTGGAATCAACGGTTCCATTGGCATTTATGAGTTGAATAGACCATGCTCTCTCCTATTCAAAATGAACAATTTTTTTTATAAGTAAAAATTAAAACAAATTACTTATTTTAAGAATCAGATCAAATTTGCTCTCCAAATGTCCAAATAAACTGTGTTTATTCATAAAAGTGTAAAAAGTTATTAAAAAAAATAAGGTCCAAGTTAACAATTAATTTTTAAACTGCGCATATTATAGACTCATAACTTTTATCAAATTTTCTAAATTTTTTATATAAAAAAAAAATTTGTCAAACAACCCCCTTTGAAGCCCTTATTTGTGTAAAATTAAAAATTAATTATTTTTTATTCAATCAAAATGAAACATTAAGTCATTAATTTAAGGATTATGCTACATGCACTACATGGTTCACTACATGGTTGACTACATCGCCAAGTGGCGACGCCCTATTGGAGGGTCGGCTGCGGAGCCGACCATGTAGTACATATAGCTTAATCCTTAATTTAAACTCCACAAATACATAAACACTAGGCATCTAGGCCCCTGTCCGAGTCCCCTTTTTAGGAGAGTTTTATAATAGTGATTTTTTAGATAATGTACCATAAAAAGTAGGAAAATTTTGGGTTAACTGTAAAATTATTTTATCGAGAGAATACCTGGTTGAAAATGAATTTTTAAATAATAGTGCTCATTCCCTTGATCCATAGATATGAGAATTTGACTTCACAACAAATTGATCAAAAAGCCACCAAATTGGACTATTTCTTGCACGTACCAATTGAAGTCCTTTGAGAAATATAAATTTGAATAGAATGCAAGAAAGAAATAATCTACTAGATATGATTATTTGCATTTAAAATATGAATTCTAACAAATATTGAACTTAGACCCTGTTTGGTATACAAAATTTTTCATGGAACTAGAAATTTTTTTTTTTCATTTTCCATTTTTTACGCTGTTTGATAGCCTAAATTTTCCCTCCCCACCCGCCACGTCATTTTTTCCCTTGTTTTGCTTGAAAATGTTTTCCTTTTTTTTTTTTGCAATGGAAACAAATGTCATAATCAATTGTAAAAAAAAAAAAAAATCACTTTAATGGATAATTTTCATGTAAACACAAATTCAAACGAACACTAAACTTTGATTAAAAAAATGATTTTTTAGGAAATAATTTTTTTTCGTTTTTTTTTTTTAACCTTTTGGCAATGAAAACAAATTTTATAACCAATTGTGGAAAAAATTATCATTTTAATGGACAATTTCCATGTAAAACAATGTCAAACGAATACAAAATTTTAAAATTTTCCTGGTGGAAAATTATACCAATCAAACACATTTAATTAACAATACCCTGCAAAATAATTTCTAGGCAATTTGGAAAATTATACCAATCAAACACACTTAATTAACAATTCTCTGCAAAATAATTTATAGACAATTATTTTCCCTAAAAATCATTTTCTTTCCATCCATTTTTCACCATTGCAATCAAACGCACCCTTAAATCTTTCTTACGAGCGTCGAGTTCGTTTAATATAAGATGAATTGAATCTATTAGTTCAAATTATTGTGCTGGATATGAAACATTTCCGTTTTTTCCCATTTTGAGGAATGAAAAGACAAAGCACACGTGCCTTTATCCACAACAAAGATTGAATTGAATCAACACTAGTATGGTTAATGATTATTTTATCAAATAATATTATTATATCTTTCACTGCAAATCCCCTCTGCATTCACAGATATCTGAACCGTTGGCTGAGTTTTTAAACTATCCCATCTGTTTGCTCAGAGGTTCAATTGTTGTTGCATTTGCAGAGAAGAAAACCTGAACAAAACAGAAAATCCCAATTCTCAACAGGTAAATGTGTTTTAGTTTAATTTTCGAGTAAAACTCCATTTGGTTAACTGATATTCAAAGAATTCCTTCGCTAGAAAAAATAATACTGCTGCTTCATACTAGTTGATTAAATTTCATCTTTTTGTCGGAATTTCTCTCTTTTAGTTTTCTCTTTTTTGTATTGTGCATTATTGTCCGTATGAGGTGAATTTCTAATAAATTCTGTTCCACAATCTGTGCAAGTTTTAGCAGCTGTTTAGCAATACTCATACCATACAAAAAAAAATTCATAAAATCAATCCTTTCGACTTATTCAAGCAATGGATAATTATATATGTACATAATTATTGTACATAATTGATTTCATATGCCCATGTGGAATAAATCCGACCGTGAATGTAAAGTGTGGAAAAGTCAAAAATTGTAGACTATCGATGTGCGCCACATGTCAATTATGTAATATATTATGTAAATGATTATGTACTTGTAGCATGGTCCTTCGAGCAATAGCCTAGCTGTATGTTAGGTTTCCTTTAATTGTATATTATTTGTTTGATCTTGATTCTATTTTTAGAGATAATTCTCACTCATTAATGAACTATCAAAGCATGCTTGAAATACTTTTAAGCTTATATTTGTTCTTTTTCTCAATTTGGGTTTGTGGGATCTTATGTTTTCTCACCCTAACAAGTGTTTGAATCCTGCTCTGCAGTATGTGAAGAATCACTACTTGCTGTCCTATAGTCAACAGTTGAGATGTCTATTTTATCACTAGCAGCTGGGAATTTCACGAGAGGAGGACGAGGAGAGGGCAGTGGTTTAGGATTCGGGTTAAGTTCATATTTCGGAAATGAGCTTTTTGCGACTGATACTCGTGGGAGTTTGTTGAAAACCTCAAATCGTGTCCATTTCAAATACTTGGAAGGATCTAGGACAAGAAATGGGAGAACTTTTCGCGTTTTTGCAGAAGTTAGAAAGTGGAAGAAACATGATTACCCATGGCCTGATGACGTTGATCCAAATACCAAATCACCCTTAAAGTATCTTTCTAGCTTCAAGCCTTTGGACGAGAAACCTAAAGCCGTGACACTTGCCTTTGAGAAGCCACTGGTTGATTTGGAGAAGAAGATCATTGAGGTTACTCATCTTTTATGCTGAATGCTATTTACTGATGGTCTGATTTTACCTCAAAACCATAGGATTGTGGTGGAAGCTATAGCAAAAAGAAAATCATAATCGTGCTTTGTTCATACCACTTTCACAAGTGCAAAAAAACATCAGCAGTAGATAATCGATGCTCTTTTGATTTTCATCTATCTGCAGATTCAAAGAATGGCTGATAATACTGGGCTTGATTTTACTGACCAAATTAATGCTTTGGAATTGAAGTATCAACAGGTAAATTTGATCAATGTTTCCATTTGACAGGTCAAGCAACGAGAAAACTCAACTGTATAATTTTCTTTGCTTATAAAACATCCTTCACCAGTACAAATTAATTGTTCAGCTTTATAACTCTTTCTTACGAGTGTTTTGCAGTTGCATTTACCATTACATTTGAGGGATATCTGTTGTTTAAGTCATTTCGAAGATGTCTATCTTGTTCATAAAAAAATATTGAAATTTAACAATCAGTCGAGATATTTTTGTCCCCTGCTTAAAAGTTTTATTTATAGCACCAATATTTAATTCAAAGAATCTTTGTGTTGAAGCTCTAAGCAATTCAGAATCTCAGATTGATGGAAATTGTTTGACTGAAGCTTCAATTGGTCCTAAATGTGCAGATCTTTTTCTTTATCAACAGATTCAGCATAGTTGGTTATGTAGAAGTTGCATGTTTTGTAAATTTTCAGTTACATTTTTGTTTATGTATGAACTTCTCTAGTTGATATTCATGCAGTTCACTTTCTGAATTTTCTAGTGTTCTTTTAGGCTCTTAAGGATCTATACACGCATTTGACTCCCATCCAACGTCTAAACATTGCTCGACATCCAAACAGGCCTACCGTTCTTGATCATATCCTAAACATCACAGAGAAGGTAGATCTCAAGCTTTTTCTCACTGTGAAAATATTCTCCCATTAGTAATGGGGTCTTACTAATTAATATGTCATTAAGTGGGTGGAACTCCACGGAGATCGTGCAGGGTATGATGATCCAGCTATCGTGACCGGTATAGGAAGCATAGAAGGTAGAAGCTACATGTTCATAGGTCATCAAAAAGGAAGGAACACAAAAGAAAACATTATGCGCAACTTTGCAATGCCAACTCCTCATGGGTATGTTTCCAGAATCATCTATGAGAAAAAAACATTATGAATTTTACCCAAGATTCGTGAGTTTCAGAAATCTTAATAGCTCTTTTGACGAGTCTATTGGTGCATTTTTCTTATATATCTCCTAGTCACATATTACAGATGCGTTATAATATTTACCAATAAGTGAGAAGACCTTTTCAGTAGCCATCCAATACCATCTAGTGATCTGACATCACGTGAACTGCATCTGTAGCTCTGCATTGGTATTACTTAGTGAAAAGGATAGGCATGCAAGCCAGACTAACAACATGATAGTTTTACAGTTATAGAAAAGCTTTGCGAATGATGAAATATGCTGACCATCATGGATTTCCCATTGTTACATTCGTAGACACACCAGGGGCCTTTGCTGACTTGAAATCTGAGGAACTGGGTCAGGTATGTGTTTGAATATATGCTCACCCTCTTCATATGCTGACATTTGGATAAATTACAGCTTATCTGTATCAATTGATGTCACCTACTTACAGGGTGAAGCAATAGCCCATAATTTGAGGACGATGTTTGGCCTCAAAGTCCCAATCATCACAATCGTAACTGGTGAAGGTGGCTCGGGTGGTGCTCTTGCCATTGCTTGTGCCAACAAGTTGATGATGTTAGAGAACTCGGCATTCTATGTTGCTAGGTGAATTTTAATCCCAGACTCCCAGTTGTTTGTCAAGGACAAATGATCTTCAACGAGTATATGAAACTTGTTACTATATTAATTTCTCAAAATGCATTCCCTCTGGCAAACTGGTGAAGCGGCATAATATTGAATAGCAAACTGCAAACATCTTGATACAAGTTTTTGAGTTGATGGTGGTACAACATTGGTGATATTTTTGGTTAAGGTTAAGACTCGGGTTATTTTTCAACTACCTACAAAATGGGAAGAGGATTATTCTGTCCATAGATTCTATCCATGGGAAGAGGTCCAAGAGGATTTTTCCATCCATCCATTTTAGCCTTTTTTTTCCGATGATCGTCAATTGGCTTTATCATATATTCTATAAAATCTTGTGTTTTTTTTCTTTTACTCCTTGATGTCGTTTATATTTCTTCATGAATGATATATTCCCTTTACCAGTCCAGAAGCATGTGCTGCAATCTTGTGGAAATCATCACAGGCGTCTCCAAAGGTATATGATAAATTCAAGATGAAATTTCCTGAAGAATGATTTAAATTAACCAAAGTTTTGATATTCCATTGAATAGGCAGCTGAAAAACTGAGGATTACAGCCCAAGAACATTACAAGCTGAGGATAGCAGATGGTATCATCCCTGTAAGGACATTGATCTTCTACCATTTTGAGGTTTGCCTTGGTCATAGGCAGAGAAAATTTAGGACAGGAGCAACATATTAAAAATAATAAAACTGAGTCATATGAAAAGATCCAACTCAATAAATGTATAGATCCCTGATATGGATATTGGGAGAACCATACTTCAAAATTTAGCTGTTGAAGTTGGAAAACCCAAATCTATATAAACTACATATTGAAAGCCCATACTTTCAACGTGGGATTCAAATCTCTATACCTTGCATGGGAACCATAACAATCCACCACGCTTCGCAATCTTGACGCCCATGTCGGATTGTCTTTGTACTGGCCCATGACTAGTCCCGAGCGAACATTGCTATGTCAACGTCACTACCAGCGTCGCTGGATTGCAAATTGCAATTGAGAGATACGGTGCCTGCTCTAATACCATTGATATACATTTTGGGAAATCCATACTTCAAAAGCTAGATGTTGAAGTTGGAGAATCCAAGTCTATATAAACGACCGAAAACCCATACTTTCGACGTGGGATTCAAGTCTCCATACCTTGCAATGGGAACTGTGACAATCCCCTAATTTGGTATATCTAATCAACATGATGAAAACTGTTGTTCTTTTTCTTTCATTTCCATTTTTATTTGGTACACGTCCATTGCTTGTATTAGAGACACGCACCTCCTTTCATCTTGAGCTTGAGTGCAGCAGGCACTTCTTTGCTTTTTAACGATTTTGCCTTTACATTCTTCAAAAAGCGGCATGTGAATTATTCCAAAATCATCTTTACGCCTTTTTTCATTACAAGTAGTTGTCAAATGGCAGGAACCTCTAGGCGGTGCACATGCTGATCCTGTATGGACATCTCAAAATATTAAGGAAGCTATTCTCGAGGCAATGGAGGTGAATCATTTGCAGTTTTAGTCCCTCAAAAGTTAATGCTGCTGTGTTCTATTATAAATTTATAACAATATGAAGTTCCAATCAAACAAGTGAACTTCCGATCAAAGGCAGTTCTCTTTGATACTAGTACAGAAAATTTTGTTGTAAAAAGAATGAAATAAATTTTGTAATTATCCTTGGTTCTACGCCGTTTATATCCAAACCATTTCAGTTTCTACATTTCTCCTGACATTGACATCTTTCTTGTTCTAGGAATTGACAAGAATGGATAAAGAAGCATTACTTCGACACCGAATGCTTAAATTTCGTTCGATTGGAGTTGGAGGGTTCAGAGAGGGTTCAGAGGTGGAACCTGAGAGGAAACGGAACATGAAACTGTCTGAGGTGAATGCACCAAAAGTCGCTGACATAGAATCCGACATTGAGGATCTCAGGAAAAAGATACTCGAAGCTAAGGGACCGCCTGGTCCAATTACCAGCCAAAAAATCAAGAAACTTCAAGAAGATCTTGATCAGGAGATGACCAAGGCGTTTACTTCAATGGGCTTGCTTGATCGGATAGAATCTCTTAATCTGGAGCTGGCTAGGTCCCCTAATCCAGATCAAGCCCTGAATTATGAACTCAAGGAGAAAGCAAATAAAATTGTGCAAGAATTTAAGAAAAATCTAGCACGACCTGGAGACTATCTCTGGTTAAAGCAAAAGCTCCAAACACTCAGCATGGTTAGCAGGCTTATTGAATTGAAAGAGAGAAGCGAGAAATTGAAAAGCCAGGTCAATCAAAAAATTCCAGCAGAAGTAAAAGCCAAAATGGACCTTCTAAAAAAGGCTCGGGAAAAGTTGTCGACTGATAATCAAGTAGACGAGAATCTGTCTGAGGAACTAGAAAGGGCAAAGAAAGAGCTGGAAGAGGTTCTAAGATCGGCTAACTTGGAAGTTATTGGACTGGTGAAGAAAAAGAACATAACTACTCCTCCTGAATTGAAAGAAAAGATTGTGCATTTGAACAGAGATATCACAGAGGAGATTGAAAAAGCAGTAAACGAGAAGGAAGGCATTGGTGGGAAAATTGAAGAGTTGAAAGTCGAGATGGCGAAAGACTATACTTCGGAAAAAGTGAAAAAGCTGGAAGCAGAGATAAAGGAAGGTATTGCTATTGCTCTTAATGTCACCCCACTTAAAGAGAAGGTTGAGAATTTAAGAGTGGAAATGTCGTCATTCGGTAAGGAAGTCAACAATGGCAGATTGTAAAGTTAAATCTCCGTTCTTCCTCACTCGAGAGGGGTTGGGGCCGAGGGGATACTTCGCGTAAAATCTTGTATGCATTCAGTATACTATTGGTTATTGACATTGAAACTGTCCATTGTTGTAACTTAAATTTGTGTCTTCTTGTATCCATGTTGATTTTGTTTGTTTCCTGTTTCTGTTATGATTCCTGATGAGCGCCACTTATTTATTGGTCCATTTTGCTGCAGATATTAGACCCAACACGTGCTGTTATGCAATGTGAAGCAACTGAGAACTCAGTAAAGAGATCAATATTGCTGTTCACTATGCTGGATTCTATTTTTCCTAATTTTTCAATTTTGAGTCTATTGTTTCGTTGTCGAATTATTGAGATATTTTGACATCCATATTTCTTCGTTTAACGCTTGTAAAGTACTTGCTTGGGTGAGTTAAAATATAATTTAATGACCGAGCTCCAAATAATATGTGGATAAAAAGTAGATATTATTATCGTCGTTCTTTTATTTACATCACATTTGTACTTGAAGGTCCTTAATCTCTACTGATTTTCGTACTCATGTCCTTAACTTTTTTCACTACATTACGTTCATTGACGTAGGGGTTTGTTTGAACCCTATTTTTTGGGAGAACAAATTTTGTAATTGTGATTATTTGAAGAATGTACAGTTAAAAAGTAATGAAAATTTTTAAGTCAACATTTAAAATTATTTTATTAAAAAAATGTGTGATTGAAAATAAGTTCAAAATAAAATGAGTTTTTGAAGAATAAGACTCAAAGCAATGGTTAATTTAGGGGCTCGTTTGAGATGATTTTTGAAAAGCCAAAATGATCTTTTAAAAACACTTTCTGAATATGAAGCTCTTTTAAAAATTAATTTATAAACAAAAATAAATGTAACTTCCCCCAAAAGTTCTTCCATATAAAGTAAAAACAAAAGTTATGTCGAATAGCCCTAGACACCATTTTTGTCCAAATATTATGCTTACATTCATTTAAATGAGGGGAAAATATTTTTATAAAATTGTTGTATTTCTTATTTATTTTGTTTAATTAAAATATTAGAGATAAGTATTTTTACGCCTTCCTGAAGATTCTTTTGGATGGAGACCATTATTAGAAACACGATATAAAGTTAATATAACACCTATTTGGTTCAATTAAAAATAGGGTTAGGCAAAACTCTCGAATCAAATCAAACAATTTTTCTTAAATTAAATACTCGAACGGGTATCTAAATTAAAAACTAACGGGTTCGGTTTGGTTCTCAGTTCTGGACCTAGAACCGAAGAATCGATTCTTCCTAATTTTTTATTTTCAATAAGTCAAATTATTTTATTTTTTTCAACATGAATTTGATAACTAATTAATTTAGTTCATACCTAAAATATGATTTTACTAGTTTCAATTTTCAGCCAAACTCAACTTAATCAAATTGATCTAAATTTTACCCAAATCTCTTATTCTACCGTAGTATTATTTTTGCCGTTCTATTATTTTGAACTCGCTATCTTCATTTTCTTGTGATTTTAACAGTCATATCTATAAAGAACTTAACAAAAAAATGTGCAAAAGATATAACTAGATTGGACTATGTTATTTTGTAAGAGTTAGATTGAATATGTTATAGTCGAAATAATGTAGCGTTGTTATAAATATTAAAAAAATAATTATTGTACGAAACTTGGGAACCGAATAGAATCGAACCAAATGGAACTGAACCCGAACGATTCCATAATTAAATTTGGACCCGACAGTTCCACTTACTATATATACGAAAATTTCGGTTTGGTTCACTTCAGAACCGAACTGAATCGGACCATGTCAGATTGAAATTAAAGTTAAAAATAAAAAATTAATTTTAACTTAACATTTCACGCGACCAACAATTTTTTAATCACATATTTCATTAATTATTAAAAAATAAACTAAAAATTTAGGGTATATTCTTTTTACCATTTTAAAGCCTTTTTTGTTTTCGATTTTTCAAAACAGTGAAAACCTGTTCTCTTTCCTATTTTCGAAAACGCGTTTTTGAAAATAAATAAAAAATTTACAAAGAAAATCAAAAACGACAAATTTGTCGTTTTGAGTGTTTTCAGTTATAATTAAGTCAAAATTTTCAAAACGCGTTTTGTGTGTTTTCAAAATACCAAAAAGAACACATTTTCAACAATATCAAAATGAACACTCAAAATACAAAACTCAAAATGAATTCAAAATTCAAAACACAAAATTGAAATACAAAGAGAATATCCCCATAATTTTTATATAACTCAAACATGAACACAGTTTCCAAGACAAAAATGTGAGAAAAAAAAAGTTGAGAACAAAAATGCAAAAAAGAGAAAACATTGAGAGCGTTCCATAAATTTTTATCAAATTTTCAATTGATCATATTTTTATTTTAATCACATATTTTCTAATTATATAATTTTTATCCACTTTTCAATCAATATTTTATTATTTTTATCAAAATTTATAAAAAACTTTTGTCAAACGATCTCGAGTTAAATGTCCAAATAACCAGTGAACTTATGTTTGTATTTTCGATTGCTCACTGAAATTTAAAATATCAAATTTTGACCACTAAACTTATCTGAGTGTTAGATGTTACTCATTGACATAGCATTTGTTTTAAACCCCTAACAAATTTGGTGACGTAGCTAACGAAATGCACATATAAGAAAAGTATATTTGATTCCTTATCGAAATTTGGTCACTTAACTAATAAAAATAACGTCAACCTATTGTTCACTAAAAAATGTATACAGCAAGGGCACATGTCGCGTAGACGTAATAAAATGATTATCGAATCCGAGTTATCAATTCCACGAAGAATGATTAATCAATTACCTAGTTAAATTTAATTTTGACAACGAAACATGAACTAAGTTTTTTTTTTGAAATGATGAAAATAACTTAAATTTTTACAAAAATTACGAAAAGATCAAATAATAAAATTGAGGAAATATCTTATATGTGCGCATTTCGTTAGCTATGTCACCAATTTCGTTAGAGACTTGAAACAGATGTTAACGTTTGGATAAATTTAATGATCAAAACTCGAATTTTAAACTTCAGCAAACAATTGAAAATGCAAACATTAATTTAGTGATTATTTGGACAATTCACTCAACAATTTCTTGAAATCTTTCCAAATAAGATTACGAAAAAATAATATATAACTGCAAGTTCCAGACAAATACAAGGTCCGGTTAGCAAAATCACATATATCCTGACACCCTAGAACGGGTCGCATCTCACCGTGGACTCCTGGCAATTTCTCTCTCTAAGCGCTTTGATTTTCAGTTTTCAGTGTCGAATTCTTCCAAAAATATTTTCTCATTTTTGAGTGACAGTCAAGTTCAAGCAATTTCATTTTCTCTACACTCTAGACCACTGTTTCCTCCCAGCAGATTAGCAGAAAAACCCTAATAGCAATCGATTAAAAGATTTGGATTAGAATTTTCGTTTTCTGTATGTTTAGATATTTCAATTTTGTTTGTATAAAGGTCGATCGAGTTTTGTAAGTTTGTTTTCTGTAATGAGTTCTAGAGCGAGATATCCACCTCCAGGAATGGGCGGCGGCCGAGGAGGAGGCGGTGGCGGCATGAACCCAAACCCTTTTCAACCTAGAAATCCTACGCAAAACTACATTACAAGGGGCCCAACACCGAATAATATGAATAACCAGACGTTTCATAACCCTCAGCAACAGCAGTGGCTCCGGAGGACTCAGCTTCCTCCTTCTGACTCAACTGTCGACGAGGTTGAAAAGACCGTACAGTCTGAAGCAGTTGATTCGAGGTCAGGCTTTTACTCTTCCAAATCAGGAATACGAGTTTTTGGTATTTTAAGATTAGTTCATTCAACCGAATTCCCGCAAATATTTTGTTCATTTTTACTTCCAGGAACCCAATAGTTTTTTTTTAAGGCAATAAAGTGGAATGCCATACCCTATATTTTGTATTTTGATTGAATCGAGCATTTCAAACTGAACAGAAAGAAGAGGATCGAATTTCGATTATTTAATATCACAAAGTTCAAATCTGTGAAAGTCTGAAACGTGGCATCGTTGGGACTCCTACCTAAGAACTGATTCACCTTTTAGTTCTCTGGCACTGCTTTTTCTAGTGGTCCAGATGGTTTAATTGGAATGCATAGGAGATTTTCGATTTTTTCTCGTCATTCTACTTGTAGTGCTATAAGGAGACGCACTCCGTTTCCTACATTTTTTCCTCCTCAATGTTCTTTTTATGTAAATACTCTTAGGTCAATAGGTAAACACAGGAAGGCACGGAGGCATGTTAATATGGATCTTCACGAAGTAAATCCTAATGTATAAGCAACAGGAAATGAAATTGTATTATTGTATATTTCATATGAATGTGGTGGATTCAGTTTCTGTCATTGAGGGTATTGTTCCATATCGGTCATGATATGTCAAATTGCATTCATCTGATATGCTCGTTTTGCGATATAGTTGGCTCAAAATTATGAAAATATAGTTTGGCAATGTCTACATATTAGCTACTAAAACAAGCACAAATAACAAAACACTAAGATTTTGAGAGTAATAATGCTACTTAATTCATACACAATTGTTATATGGATTATATTGATCAGCTGTCAAACTTTCCATCAGGATAATAATTTCCACAATTACACTAAAATAATGCAACAGCGTTCTTTTTTGGGATGAACATTGTGAAAAGTTCCTCCGAGATTCTTCTTGTTTAATTGACACAATCTTGTTAACTATTATTCTTTTCTTTTTCATCAGTTCGCAAGATTGGAAGGCGAGTTTAAAGTTACCACCGTCGGACACCCGTTACAGAACGGAGGTAAAGAGTTTCAATGACATGCTTGTCTATGTGTTGCTTAGTTCATTTTATCTTCTGGGATATAGTTAATTACTGCTATTAATTAGTTTCTTTTCTTGGAAAGTTTTAAGTTTTGTTATGATAGTAAATTACCTCAATAAATTTATCATTTTATCATA